ATGCCACTAACAATACTCGGTCAAAGAAACATTTAAATAACTGACAAAACCATCGACAACAAATAAAAAAAACGTTACTGGCACGCCGATCGCCCAGGAAAAACAGGAATAAAAAAAACCTTGGGGACAAAAAAAACTGGAAACCTGTGCCCGTCACCCTGAAATATACAACAAACATTAATAAACTTACAAAACAAATCAATTGAAAACTGCACTGTAGCATGGAGGTAGAAAAGAGACCTACATGACTGTAGCGAGACTGGCCTAGACTGACATTCAACATTATGTCCTCCACTTAAATACCCCTTGTCACATGACCCCACATACCATACCCGTCTGTTTGCCATCTCGAACAGACGATAGTTAACCTCTATACTGCTAAACGCGGTTAACAATATTTAACGTTTCCTCGGGGTCACACTGAAATATGTTATACCGTAGTGAGACTTCATGCCCCAGAAAAGTTTGCGTGAGAGAGTTACATGTGTCATAATACAATTACACTCTAACAATGTAACAAGTTAAAAGGTCGGGTTGTTTTACACATGGAAGTAATGAGTACTCACAATTCTAGAAAATAATACCAGCCAAGTGCCCCCTCCCGGATCGGGGTACAAACCATTATAATCTCGATCTGAATACTTGTGTATCCAAATCGAGATATATAATCCCGTTCGACGAATTGTTCTGACTGCCTCCAATATGTAACAGACAATGCCTGGCGAGCGAGTGCAGCCAAACAGTTCATATATTTCACGCTACACACATTTTGCAAGTTTTATCACTTTGTCAACAGAGGGCGTAATGCCTTCTGCTGCTTTATTATTTGACCATAAATTTGAAAATAAAGTGGATGTTTCCTTGTACCACAGTGTTTGTTGCATTGTAATATTTATTCAGTCTGAAATTACAAAAATTATATATATTATGAACTCGTCAAGTATCATTACATGTACCACAGACCCGTGTTTCACTAACACACAATATTTTTTTCTATGAATTACGTGTTTTTTTATATTGTGTCAATTTGGAGTTGCGTCGTGTTGTACCCCTTGCAACAGTGGCGTGTCAAATGGCTTAGAGGGCACCCCCAATTGAGCTACCTAAAAAGGATAGGAAGGATTTCATCAAAAATACGAAAAGCATTGTTTTGTTCCACACCACATAATCTAAGTAGAGTTTGCTGTCTATTACACATGTGTTCCATCACATTGTCGTGCTTGATGCTAATAACAAAAGTTCGACTATAATATATGTATTTGTTCACCTTGCAAAAATCATAATCTGAGACACACTTTAGGTGTTCAATTGACCATACATTGCATAAACACAGTTTCTCATTGATTCCTACTTTTATTTATAAACAAAATGATCAGTGGTGGATCCTATCGAAATCATTTAATGTGATCCAAGAGTTTGGAGATTCTCACATCTTTTACTTTATCATATTTTTGCTTTATTTTCGTTTATTACACCAATATTTTTCTCCAAAAATAATACGATGACTCAACGTATAATCGTGTGGTACAGGTCTGTCTATCTTACTTGCGCCCTCTACAGTTCTAACATCATGCACTGAGAGGGCGCTAGTTAAGAAAGTGAATAGTATTCAAACTTTGATGTTTCCGTGTTTGCAGCTTCCGCGTTT